CTTCAACACTGCTTTCTCGTACTCTGAAAAAGTAGGCTAGTTTGCTCAGAACGTAAAAGACAGACTTTATGCTGCAACATTGGCAGACCTTTTGTCTCTTTGTGTCGCCTTCATAAAAATTTTAGAGGCCAGTTTTCTTGCGTCTCAGCCTTAGTTTGACGCTTCGAAGTTGAAATAGATTGTATTCATTACTTCTCCGAAATGCTGGATCTTACTTGATGCTACAAGAGTGGTATCAGAGGGTTCATTGCCGAAGAAAACCAGGGTCATTATTTTTCACAAAGGCTGTACATTTTGCGTTATTACTGTCTTTATTTTTCAGAAAGGCTGCGCGCAGTGCATTGTTACTGTCATTTTTTCGTACAAAGACTGCACATAGTGCATTATAACTCTGAATATTTTTCAGAAAGGCAGTACGCAGTGTATTATGACTGTCATAATTTTTACAAAGGCTCTACATAGTGCGTTATATCTCTCATTATTTTCACAAAGGCTATACAAAGTGCACTATCACTGTCAATATTTCTTGCAAAGGCGCTTAAATCTCATAGTGCGCTTAAATCTCATTATTTTTCTCAAAGACGGAATCTCGTGCGTTATAACGCTCAATATTTATTACAAAGGCTGAACAAACTGCATTATCAATGTCATCATTTTTACAAAGGGTTCTTGTTGCGTTATGACTGATAATATTTTTCACACAAGCTATACACCGTGCATTATAAATATCATTTTTCACAAAGGTGGTACATAGTGTGTTATAACTCTCAATATGTCACACAAAGACTGTACACAGGGCATCATTACTGTCATTTATTTTGAAAGGCTGCATACAGTGCATTGTCACTGTCATCATTTTTACAAAGGCTGAACATAGTTTTTTGAACTCATTTTTTTCACAGAGGCCGTACACAGTGCATCATCACTGTCAATAGTCTTTACAAAGGCTTTACATGGTGATTTATAAATATCAATATGGTCAACATAGGCGGTACACAGTGGATTTTGACTCACAAGCTATCATATTAAAGGGCAGAGTCTGCAGCCTCATCAACAGCCGCAATTTGGGAGAATCCAATGAAGAGTTTGCTAGGCGTGTTGAGAAGGTAAACGAGAAGGTAAAATACGAAATTCAGGATAATATGAACCATGTCCACTTCATACTGTGTTCCTTACCTGCTTGAATATATTTCAGCACTCGCTTTTGTTATCGATAAATTACTTGAGCAGGAGAGAGAAAGTGCCCACAGGGACCAACCGACCTACTCTGGCGTGCACAGTTCACCCGTGAATGCTGCAGAAAACAGAGAAGATAGCAAATATAACTCCTTTTCAGATCACGCAAATCACTTCGAGCACACACACTCCTCATAGCGAGTAAAGATAACGATGGTTATGAGGACTGAGTGTTTAGTCCTCTTGAACTTGATAGAAGGCCAGAATCAAGCCTAATGTAACGAAGCAATGACTGTAACAAAGCTACTGCAGAATTCAGTGGAATTTGAATACATTTGTGAAAAACAGCTGCTACCCTATAAAAAAACTGCCATGGTGGATACTGGAAAACACGTTGGGCGTAGTGGAAATATTAGTGGGTATGGAGGAAATTATGATGGATATGGTGGGACGTAGTAAAAATAATGGTGGATATGCTGGGACATACTGGGTGGTTTGGTGTACAGGAGATGGGTAAAGTGGAAACGATGGTGGAAAGTAGAGGCTAGATAGCGGGCAATCATAACACACTCTGCCCACCATTGCGATAATACAGGGAAGCACCAAGCAGATGGTGGGTGGTGCTTATTATGGTGGGCCACATGGTGTACCAAGCTGAGAAGCTCCGCCGACCATTGCGATAACGCTGGGAAGCAGTAAGAGATGATGGGTTGGCTTATAATGGCGGGCAATATATATAGTGTGCCAAGCTAGGATCTGTACACTACATGCGTTCTACCACCGTGATTTCCACCAAAGATTGGGCCTACTGATCGAGTTCGTACAGTTGTGTTATTCGTATTTCTGGGTTTCAGAATACGCAATTTCCACCATTGAGAATGACAATACAGCACAGCCATGGCCTCAATTACCATAAATGAAGCATTTTTCATTGGGTACGGTGTCCGCGCAAGAAGCAATAAACATTGATGCGACATGATTCCAGCACTCCCAGAGAACGTACTTCTCCCCTGACCGACAGCCACAGTTCGCACTCGCCGGCACTTCTCTAGCTTTTATGCGAGAACACAGACTTGGCGATTCGTATGCTAGGGGAACTAATATGATAACGTAATGTTTCGGGCACACTGCATTCGTTATGGCCAAGCCGTTATGTAGTTGTTGATATAGCGAAAGAGCTACAGCAGTGCGCTGGCACGACTGCCCTCTACGTTGCGCAAAAAGCATCCCAATACTCAATTATTTAAATTAGGTGGGCGTATCTATGGAATGAGCCTAGAGGCGTCATAAAGCGTGAGCAGATGTCGTTCTTTGGAACGAGCGCGAAACGGATATTAAACTTGGCAGACCCCGCCGGTCAACTGTATAGCTGCTCCCCAGTCCACTTGTTTTTTTATAGCGGTTGTGAATTGTAAAAAATACATAGCGCTGTTGCTATTATCGCAGTGGCAATTGTTACAGGCAGCAGTTGCTTTTGTTTAATAAAAGTGCAAACTTTATTAGCATGTGCAGATCTTGTCTATGTAGAGTACACGACAAACAAAACTGTTTAACCGTAAGTTTGTCTGTTAACTAGCTATTTAACACTGCAAAATTTGCCATGTTGGTATGGCGCAGTGGTTAGTGTCTCTGAATGGGAATCGGCAAGTTGCACGTTCGACCCTCCGTGGCAGCTTTTTACTTTTTTACTGGACAGGTGTTTTTTAAATCGTCACGATGATTCTAATGCCATTTCGCGCTGAAGCGTTGCCGAACTGCAGCATCCACCATGTCCCATTATGCGCCATAATGGACGTTTTCCAGCATTCACCCACTTCATTATACCACAATAATGGTGGGTGGTGGTTTACACCATGCCCATCATTCGTTTTTTTTCGATAGCGTAATTATCAACTTCTAAACTTATAAGGCTGTATACATGAGAAAAAAGACTGGAGCCTAACCCTATCGAAGTTTTGGTCCACAAAGCGCACATGCCAATGTAAACGAACCCGGCAAAAGATTTTCAGAAACATCCCGCCACACCCAGCAGGGCAGAAATGTAAAGCGCCAACACTTGAGAGACATAGTGATATAAAACATGATACAGTTTCAGGGGTTTTGTAGGGGCCTCAATAATGGCGAGAAAATGAAATTAAAGTTGTTGTACGTATGCAAAAGCTGTTTCTAGTTGGCACAGTTTAATTTGCGCGAGGTTTGGTGAGAACGTTAAATATTTGAGCATTGTAAAGTACTGATGGGTCGCCTTTAGTGTCTAGCTGTCGTCTTTTAATAACTGTGGGAAGCTGCAAGTGTCATGTGCATTCCGAAGAAAGTATTTGATGAGAAAGCCAGCAACATAGTATGCAGCAGAGTCATGAATAATATGGGAGTGAATGTTGGTCGTGAGTTCGAAGAGATTGTCTAGAGCAGGAAAGTCGTCAGGTTGTTGCTTGCCCAATCATTATTCACAAGTGAAACACTGGTGAGGTAGAATGGCGAGAACTCCTGAAAGAGGTGCCATTATTCATTCTCGACATTTACGTATACTGACAGTTTAAAAAGTTTTCCTATGCAGTTGTGCTTGAGGCCACAAAAAAATTGTGCTACATTGGAGCTGTTGCAACCTTGTTTTGGCCTTATGTATCCAAGTATGTTTTTCAAAGGATTCTGTTGAAGTCTGCGTGTTAGCACGTAGTCGAAATTGTAATTTTGGGAGAGGTCGTTCAACAGTTCACACATAACATGAATTGTAATTTGCCAACCAACGATGGTCAGTGGTTTGCGTCTGGCACTAAACTTCCATAATCCAATCTGGGGAAGCCGGCCTCAAAAAAAAAAAGTCGATTAGCTCTGAATTCTCTTTCGCGATTGCACTCCGAAACATTTGCGAAGTTTTTTTCTACTCGAGCTTTTGAAGGCATCAAAAATCCTGTCCATTCGGCCACAAAACATAAACTGTAGTTTTGAATGGGACAGGCAGCACTTCCGCATACACAAATGGCATGATAGCAACCGAAACTTATGCACTGAGGACCTGAGTAGCTCTGCTGACCTTCACATTAGAAAATGGTTTCTGATGAATGTGTCTTTAAGTCAACTTTGGAGCCAATCGGAACCGCAACTCAGGTGAGAATTAGGAAAGGCTTAGAATGTCAGATCAGTCAACGCCGTCATCCCCAATATATAACTTGTGTGCTCGGATATTATTGCGCAATGTTTTAACTAAATAGGAAATATCAAAGCTGAAATACACCTGCTCACCATTAACTTAAAAAAGGGTTTTCCTACAGTCACTCTTAGTTGGTTAGCGAGATTTATATTGAACTTTCCTGGCCACATAGGTCTGCTTTAACTGCAAAGTTAATGCTTGTAAGCTCCACAACGAGTGACGCCAGCAGGTTATGCATAACAGGTGATTGTACTGATGTGTGTCCTATAGTAAAAGCTAGTCGTTGAACCCACTTTTTCTAAAACACCAACAAGAAGAACTACCGATGCTGAATCAGCAATGACTGAAGTGTAATTATTGCCATCACCTGTAAAACCGTGGATATAGTCCCGTGCAGCATCATAATAGAAACTCTTTTTGAGTGATATGTTATCGAAAACTAAAACACACAGTCGGTCTCGTTCATTCCAAGTGTGAGTAGTTCTTGCAATAGAAAAAATTATTCCTGTTATTGTGCCTGGAGTCATCTTTACATTGGCTACCCAACTGCCTAATGAACACTGGAAGGGGAAAAATATGGATCCAAAAAGTTGTATGCTCATGGACCACGGAAGTTTAGGTCGAGAGCAAATTTCTTGAACAACACGGTAAAGGACTTGCTTTTGCCTTTCAGCCTCAAGCGAACATGTGCGAAAAGAAGTTTGAAATCGTCATTGGTGACGCGCGGTCGAATAATGCCTGGGTCCTTTGAAGTCGACGTCAGAGCTTGGTGAGGCCGCCTCATGTCTTTTGATGGCTTTCTGCTGTGATTCTACTTTGGCTTGAAGACGTCGAATGGTTTGCTCATATTTATTTTATAGAGCCCTTGTTGCTGGCACTAATGCACTGCAATGAACAAAAAATGATTTAAAGTGAACAGAAACTAATCCCGCACTCGCGACGTCTTCGCTTCTTTTCTTTAACTCAAAGTACCTCATTTTCTGTGGCGCGAAGTTTTCAATTCCACAAATTAAATAAATGCCAATGGCACCCTAATAATAAAAATCACTGAGAGCTCACCATGACATTTTATTGGTGCACACGTAGTGTCCATCGGAGATTACTTTGCTCAGAATGTCCTTGTTACAAGCTGCCACTCTAGCGTCGCCAGCGCGAAGTCGGCGACGGGAATGACAGCAGGTTAGTTCGTTCCATACGCAAGCAGAGACAGTGAAGAGATCAGAGACGTGAGAAAACAAAACAACTTTACTCTAGTGATATTGCAGCACACGGGATCGAGTACAACACTTCAATACAACTAACAAAATACATCAACACTTGTTACAACAAAAATATACATATAAAAAACAATAAATCAGCTTACAAGAGAGAACTATTACAAACTACACAAACTAACAACAATAGAACTACGGAGGAGGAAGTTAGACAACACAAACAGGTGAAGGCGCACATGTGATGACCGGCAGCGTTGCGCCCCTACGATCGGATGCGAGAAGTCGAAGAGAGTTCTGGCACGACTGCGATGTCGGCGGTGTTGCAACGCTGGTGGCTCCGGGAGGCTGATGCTTGAAGGTGACCTCGGGCAGGTTGAGCTAACTCGAGGCGAAGTCCCGATGTCTACGTTGCAGACGTTAATATCGCGTCACAACTAGACGAACGGCTAAGTTTAGGTGGCCAGCCGATACAGAGCCACACTAAAAACTTCTAGAAGAGATACTTGTTGATCTGTTTCTAAACCATGTTGGTCAGTGACTAGTCTGCCTAGCAGGGCAAAATCCTGCGCCTAAATCCCCCTCGTGTCGCCTCGCTCTCTTCCTTGGTGACAAGAGACCTCCACAAGGGTCCAATCATGCGCGTATCATTGATGAAAACTCCGCCCCAAAAACTATATTGACCCCACCCCTTTTTAATTAGGAGAGGGCCCTCAACTAGCGAGAGTGACAACCTGTTGGGGTGGTGTCATACGGCTTGGCCACCAGACGTTTTCGCACGGTTTTGCCGTGGAAACGGTCAGACTGCTTGGCTCTCAGCTGGTGCGTCCCGTAGTCTGATCCTTGTTCGGGGTACATCGCGGCCTTCCACGACCCTGCAGACGCCACCGCAGGTACAAAGGATCAAACGTCGGTGGCGACGTTCAAAGAAGAGCACCCCAGTCTGCACTTCCCGGCTCTCTTTCTTGCGCCCGCCATTCCCACGATCAGCGGGGGAGTACGGCACCCGTTAATTGCCGTGACGCCAGGTCACAAAAATGGCGGTCCGTGACAGTCCTAAACATTCAAAAGCACTTTAAATATAGCAGCATTCAAAGGATAGTCACCATTTGCTGTGAGGCATTCAGACGTGGAGCTGTTGTCGGACACATCTTCTGAAAAGTCTTAGAAAGGTTTTTCAGCACCTCGGCCACTGCTGTCAGAACAATCTTGCGAGCAGCCTGCGGAATTCTCTGTATCAATAGTCTGCTGTGTTGAAGTGAACATAGGTGTTGAAGGAAACAGTAAACTCGCTGGTCACAAAGTTTTCTTTGTGACATCTGCGTGACTGGTCAAGGTTTTTATCAGGAAGACGAAGTCAGCAGGAACTCCTGCCCCAGCTAGAATTGAGCTGCCACATGTAGAAGCTTGGCCAACAGTCAATTTAAATATTAGAAAAAGAAACGTCGACACTGTAAACACTCTGCTCATCGGAGCACTTCAAGGTGGAGAGCCGCTTCTTGAAGTCTCTGCCGCAGATCCTAACGAAACGAGACATCGACAATTTCTCAGTAACAGGCCTAAAATAAGAAAAGCTGAAGCAAATCCACACCTTGAACTGAAGTCATGTCTGCAGTCATGTCGTAGTCACTACTTGAAGCGATGCTCAGGGAACATGCATATATGTGTAGTAGGTACTAAATGTCAAGGTTGTAGCACAGGAAAATGTAACAGTCATTTCAAACACATCAATTGGCAGGCGGAAGAACAGAGCAGGCCCCCAATGAAAAAAAACATGCAATTTCTGGTTTGTTGAATTATCGACAGTGCCAGCTTTCATTGATGTGAGGGATACGTAGAACAACCCATTTTTCTAACCTGAACGAGCGAGCATTGACCACCTAGTCAATAAGTGCCGATTCCAGGCATCCAGACGTCCAGTTCCTGAAACAGCCTTGCGGAGGGCAGCTACACAGGATTGTGTATTACGTGTACGCCCGTACTTTCGTATCATTTCGCCGCCGTGCTTCGTTATACGGTGCTTTTTGACCGGGGCAGTCAATGTTCGTGTGTTTATGAAAAAAACATTGGCAGCGGCATATGTGCACGAAGGCTGCAATAACCCTACAAAGTCTTTCAAAATAAATTGCACATGCCAAGCACATAAAAATGACCGGAATATAAAGCTGTTGAAAAGGTAATAGACCACAATTAAGAAAATTGCAGACTTTTGAAGTGTCATTTTAACAGCGAGGTTTTTGCACCAGTTACAAATAACTTCCAGGTTTTTTTGTGGCCACTGATTGAACAGATGTGGCTGCTATCACAAATAAATGAGTTTCTCCCAATCCCTTAGCCATTTGTTCCACACTGGGGACAGTCGTTCTTGTAAGACTTGTGTATCCAGGGTTCATGGAACTTTCAGCAGTAAAATGGTCGCTGCTAACCCTGTACGTTGCGTAAAATAGGCTGGCCGGCTTACTCAGGAGATCAGCTCGTCCGGCATACTGGATCAATGCTGTCACTCTTCATTGGCAATCAACTATCAGCTGAAGGCGAAGGGCTTGATTTCGTTATTGTAAGCCTCACTAAGCAAGTACGAAAAGTAAGCTTGAAGATATGCAAACCATACAAAAGTTTCAGCTCACCTGCCGTCCCGTTGTATGTGAAAGAAACTCGTCTCTGGCTTCTTGTGGTTTCTGCCATTGTTCTAGCACCTCGACACACAGCAGTAGGTGCCGTATCTTGGACCACTGGTCGGCATGGCATCGGCGCAGTCTGAAAAATTCTGTAAATGCGTGCTTCGCTGTTAAAATATGAAAACAATATTTGCACGTCATAAGTGTACCGCAAAACCACCTTGAATAATTAGCGAATTGATGCGTATTACAACAGCACTGACACATTCTCATCTATGACCCATAAAGCTCGGACTTACACAGATAGATGCTTAGACCACGTACAAAGGTGTTCAAATGATTACAGGCCACTATTCCCTGTAATGCATTGGTATCACGGCCTTGGAACTCAGGAACACCTTTTTAAGTACGCAGTATAGAAGCAATATATTGCGAAAAAAAATGAGAGTTTGAATAAGCGCGGAAAAAATATACATAAAATGTTGAAGATTTCAGGCAGCTTGAACTCGTGGTGCAAGGCTATAGCGAAGAAGGTGGCCACTTGGCTGGTTCAAGTTTGCGCCCAATACACCCGGATTTATTTGTGGTCTCGGGAAATACGTCGTGAAGCATGCGAGGTCAAGCGACCGTGCCTCAACAGGGAGCTGTCGAATAACTTACGCAAAGCTTGAGGGTGTAGCTTGGCGAGAGTCACATAAGGGGAACTCGCGAGCATAGAACGCATTCGCCGGAACGTCCGTAAAGCTTTTCGTGCGCTGTTCAAAAACTCCCTAATGTTTCGCACCGTCCTCAGCGCCCAGCACACGTCGCTTCGGCTTGACGCCGCGCCTCCCTTTGCTTTACTGCATATGTTGCACAATGTTCAAATCTTACCGCCGAATACATCAGCAAACTGTTTTTTAGCGAACCTCGCCGTCATAACACGTTTGAGAAATCGGTTACAGCTACGCGCATGACACAAAACGAAAGAAACATAGAAACATGGCCCACACGAAGCGCAATCTGTGTGGGCGTGTTTGTTTCTACAGTTTCTTATTTGCGATGTTGTAACCTTTTTCTGAATATATTACCCAACTAACACAACAACATGTCATTCAACAAGCTTTGCTTGAAAACGTGTCTCGTCTGCTGTCTTACACACAAAAACACCGAAGCAGCCGACGTAGACGAAATTTTTCCACTGTCATACCTGGGCTTGTCGCATAGTGGTATTGTGGCTACTGGCGGGTACTCGAATCAGCAAAAATCGTAGATGCTGGTATGGCAGTGCAGCTTAACAAAAATAACCGCGTAAGTTGTGTTGAATAAATTCTTTTTATGTATAAAGAACAGGGCAAATATGGATGTGTAATTATTACTTTGTAAAAAGAACATATCGTTGCAGTGATGATCACTTTTTCTTTCTCGCAATTGCATCCTCTGTCGTTTGGTGAGGGCACTAGTTTGTTACGTTGTATAGATGCACTTCCTAAGACCAGATTTGGCAGATTGTCTGCTCTTGGCTTTTTTTCCTATGGGCTCAGCGCTGCGGCAGCCACTTCAAGCTTGCACGAACGCAACTAGAGAATTTCGGATGGTGAAAATCAATAATCTCAAGAGAACAGTGCAATGGCACGAAATATCAACAAACTGGCTCAACTAATGCCTCGCCAGTCAGAAGATCGCCGTAGGAATAAGGCATAACCACAAAGTAAACAAGCTGAGTTGACTAAGCGATGCAGGCAGCCCGGCGCAAAGTCACTCGCCTGGCGGCGGTTAGACCCTGACGATGATGCCACCTCCCCACGTGTCTATCTCTCCAGTGCTCCGTCCTAGAGCGCGCACCCTCCAGGGGGACGTTTCGTCGGTCAAAGTTTGCTCGCGTATAGTGCAGTTGTTTATTAAAACCTCGCGAAAAAGACCTCCACAGATATCTTGTAAGAGGTCTCGGATACCGAGTTCGCCATAAATTCGCGAATTCAAACCATCTTCAGTGTTTCTTCAACGCCTCGCACTTGCGATTAAGTGG